GACATAAACTCTGTTTTAAGCTATTGTTCTCTGGTGCAGTTGTCCCAAGTATTCATTTCGAAACCTGACTCAAAGATCAAACATCATCTTTTATCTGTAAACTAATCTTTTTTTAAGTCTTTGCTAATAGTCTTTTCTGATCAAAATCAGTCGTATTACTTAGGCGATTTTCTTTCAAAAATAGATGAGGTGTTAATGAATTTAAGTCTTCTGGATCTTCACTGATATAGGTTAGAAGTCTAGCATTAGTTGGCTTTCACAGTCACGGAGAGTGATTTCCATTTCTTGATAGTTTAGAGATGCTCATCCTAAAACTTTTTTCAGAATTCGTTTTAGAAGGCCAATCAACCTCTCCCAAAAGCCACCCCACGAGGAGGCTGCTGCAGGAATGAATCTCCAAATAATAAAGAGAAATAGATATTTTTAATCTTTACAGACCGACATTTTTCAATAAATTTTCAGCTCCGATAAAGTTAGTTGTGGTGTCTGAGTATATCACTAAAGGATGACCTATGAATTTCCTAAGTGCTGATAAGAAATTGTCTGTCTGATTTGTGAGACACTATAAGTCAGAAGTTCTAAATGTATTGCTCTATAAACTGCACAGGTTAAAATTAGGATCCATACGTTCTTTCTTTCTTTCAGTAGTAATAGATCTGCAGTGTCCATTCCAATAATTTCTAAAATGCAAGCATTTTTTACACGATTTTCAGGAAGCATTCCTACTGGGATATCAGGGGGGTTGACTCTAAATCTCTGGAAAATAGTTCAAGTTTTGATTTCTGCTTTTATAGTTTTTCTACTTCTCAGAATCCAATAATTTTCCCTCAAAGCTACCATTAGCGAGTATACTCCACAATGTTCAAGTTCTTGATGTTTAGACAAAATTAGGCACTTAACTACATGATCAGATGGTAGAACAATTGGGACTGAAATTTTCATCGTCGCCTCTCAAAAGGAGTTTCATTTTAATTCTCGAAATTTCATCAGCGTCTGTGGATGTCGACAGTTTTAAATGTTGAGGTTTCTCTCTATGGAAAGAGTCTTGAACTTTTTTCAAAATTGTAAGTTTAGCTTCTTTAAGCTCTTCAACAGATAGTTCTGAAATTTTGTTAGGTGTCTAAATTACTGTTAAACATAAATATCCAACTTGTGATTCTAATTATTTTTTTATCGAAGGATATGTGGCTATAATAATGATCATTACTTTGATTCAGGTGAGACACTATAATTTTCTTCTTTTTTGTATTTACCACATTTTTGTCATCATAATCTGGTCATTTATCTCTAGAATCTCTAAGTCAGGGAGGTCCGTGCCATTTTTGTTTTAGTAAGGCTTTTACTGAGCAAACTTTTGATGATATGTTGGCAAGATTTTGAGTTCCAGGAACAAACTTCCATTCGTTGAATTCTGATAGAGTTCTAAATTCATTTACACGGTTAGATACAAACGTTTGCCATGGGCCTTCCCTTTGGATCCAATACAGTATGTCCATGGAATTGCACTAGTAGACTGACTGAATATTTCCTAACTTCAAAACTGTCTTCACTGCATTGGTTAATTTAGCCCCAATAAGACATGCTAGCAATTCCATCCTCGAAATCGATAATCCCTTCAAAGGAGCAATTCTTGATCTAGCTTGTACTACCTTTTACCTTTTCTTCCGGGAGTGATTGTATCATCTATGATGATTCAGCATTCAAAAAATCAAACTCATTTAAGTAGACCACATGCAGATGAACACTAGAATATATTTAAGATAACATTAAAATTACAATTAAAATTTTGTTTGTGTTCAAATATGTCATTTAATATATCTTTTTTCACCGCTCGTTCTAAGCGCGTTGTTAGAGAAGTGTTGAGTTGGCGTGTGCTTCTCACAAACGATAATTATGTGCAAAATTTTAAAGGCTTTGTTTTTAACAAAAAAAATTAACTTAATAATTTTTTATTTTGTTTGACCCTTTGACGAGCGCAATATTATTTTTATAATTTTTTTAACTAAAAACCCTAGAAATTGAATATTATGATCCTAGAGACAAATAATATATGAATTAAAAAAATCTACTCTTGCACATTGTTCTGTGGATGGTGGTTACACTGTGAAACCACCGCATATCTGGGACTTGGAAACTTACATAGGTAGTAGGAAAAAAAAAATCTTACCTCTCTCCATGCGCGTTTCCAATAAATGACAAAATTTACGAATTTTGAAAAAATGTATGTAGGAATTGCAGAACATATAATTTTTTCATTATTTTACAAATCGTTAGAAAAAATTTAAAAAAAAAAACATTTATGTAATTTTTCTATAGTAGTGAAAATATAAGTACCTACGTAATAAGGATGTTTGGCTAAATGGATGAAAAAAACTCAGTAAAATAAAGATAAAAAGAAGACTCAGTGGTATTTATATATATATATATATTTCAAAGAATAATTTTTTTTGTGCGACACTGTGCAAAGCATGTTTTGTCTTTTTGGCACATGCATAGAACCACATTGCACGTTTTTCGCACATGTATCTTCTTCCGTGAGGTTTCTTCCTTGTGCTACAAAATGTACACTGCCTGGATCTAAATTTCACTGGTATATGTCCAGTGTTATTTTGTTTCTTTTCATCTGGCACATGAAATTTGTGGTTTTTTACGTTAATGGGGGGGGGGCTTGGTTTTTTTGGCTTTGGTACAGATTATTCGTTTCCAATTCATTTTATTCGTATTTTGTCCCAAAATATTTAGAAAATATTTTTAATTTAAATAAAACTTTTGCACGATTTCTATTTTTAATTATAGCAAAGTATATTTACGCTAAATTTAAACTGCACAAAATAATTTATAAAATCACAATACTAGTTTGGGGAGCAAGTGTGTTGAGGTCAGAGTAAAGCCTCTGGAAAAGAAAGACCTTTTTACTGGGCAGGTGCATGTATTGTTTAGTAATAAAATATTTCTGTGGTTTCATAACCCCTTATCTATATCCGGGTAAAAATAAACATTCCTATTTGAGAAGCAAGCGAATGCCGTTGTGAAGAGCAGTGGTTTCAAGGCGTCACCTTTGAGCAATGGACCATTGAGCAGTGCAGTGGTCGAGCCTTGAAACCACAAAGCAAATGCCATACATATAGAGGTTTATATATATATATATATGTGCAGTTTAATTATTGCTATTTTTTATTGTTTATGATAGAAATCATGACGTGCGATGAATAACTTTTGAAATTTAAAGTTGTTTACATTAATAAAAGGAAGTTATTTTGTCTCATTGAAAACAAATTTTAAAAGGCATCCAATTTGAAGCACTAAGACCTAAAACATTATAATTCTGCAGTCATTTTGTGCTGTTTAGAGGTAAAAGATCAGTAATCAATTGATTTTCATTCAAAAATTTTGGAAAGAAGAGGAGAAAAAAATTCGAAAATTAGTGGTTTCAGGGTGCGACCACTGCACTTCAAAGGGTTTTATTTCAAATCAAATATAAAAAATCAGTTTACTTTTTCTTCCCAGGGTGACTGTATTTTCTATGATGACTCAGCATTCAAAAAACGCAACATGTAGACGAACACTAGAATAGTAGGCCACATGTAGACGAACACTAGAATATATTTAAGATAACATTAAAATTACAAATTTTGAATATTTAAGAATTATTGAATATTGAAAATAACATTAAAATTACAAATTTTAAAATTCAAATTTTGTCTGCCTTAGAATACATCTTTTATATGTTAGGGAATACATATTTTTCCGCCACTTGATCTAAGCACGTTGTTAGAGAAGCATTGAATTACAGTGTACTTCTCACAAACGATAATTATATGCATGAAATTTTAAAGGCTCTGTTTTTAACAGATGTATATTTATAAATGAATGAATACACAGTTTAAAAAAAAAAAAAAAGAGTTCAAAACCTAATCCAGTTGCACACTAATAGCAGCAACAAGTGGTGATAATAATGCAAAATAAAATAAAATAAAAAATATGTTTAAAATTTCTTCCGTGTTCAGTTCGGAATTAGCCTCATTAAAAACAAAAAACAAAAAAACTGAATCACAGTGGGAAACTGCCAAAAACGAGAACAAAATATGCCAAAATCAGATATGAAAATTTATGTCTTTCACCGCATATTTATCAGGGGGTTGGTGCAATGAAACTTAAAGTGCAAAGTAAATGTTTTATTTATTTACCTATTTACCTCTTTTGTTGCACCATCCCCTGATGAGGGTGCAGTGAAAGGCATAAATTTTCATTTTTGCTTTTGACATATTTTGCTCCTTATTTCTTGCAGTTTGTCTCTTTGCTTCTGTTTTTTTTTTTTTTTTTGGGGGGGGGGTTGCATGTGGTTTCTTCTGAATTGAATATTCGAAGAATTTTTAAGCCTATTTTTTATTTCATTTTGCATTATATATACATATAAAATATTATGTATGAGCATTTAAACGGTATAGTATTGGTTGCTGGTCAACAGGCAAAAATCGGGTAATATTCATAAATGTACAGGACAGGGGCGTAGCTAGAGGAGGGCATCTGTCCCCGGGCGCAGAATCCAAGGGGCGCCAAACTGATGTTGCGACATTTTAGAATTAAATGTTTTCCATCCTTGGCAAGCAGTAGGGGGCACGAAATCTTCAGTTGTCCCTGGGCGCTGAAAACCCTAGCTACAACTCTGGTACAGGACTAGGTTGGAATGTTTTAAATATGGAACCCGCTTCTTCAGCTGCCAGAAATGTAAATGATTTGCACCTTTGCAGTTGAGGAAGAAAGCTCTATATTTAAACCTTCCAAACTAGTCCTGCAAATCTATGAATGTTATGCTTATTCTTTTTGCTTCAATTCCTCCAATACTCATTACTCATCATGTTATTTTAACTTAAATCAGTATAGCATCTGTTGTAGTGGAGGTTAATTTGGGATTAAACTGTCTGATTTTTTATTTTTTTCTATGTATGGTATGATAGCAAAGAAATTATATTTAAGAATATGTAATTTTACTATTTCAGGTTTTGTGATCATTTAAAGACAACTAAGCATGTTCATCTCCTAGTTCCTTATTTAGCTTCTGTTATGGAAGGTCTGATTTCTTTAGCTGTACAGTTTTCCTCTGAAGTATTAGCTTTAGTTTTGGAAGCAATTGCCATTGTTATTACTGTATGTATATATGGATATAATAATATATTTTCTATTTCATTGGTTTGCTAATTAATTTAGTACTTTCTGATTATCCACTGCCCTACAGAAAAGTGTTCATGAGGAAAAACAGTATGTCACCAAAAACAATTATGTAACAGCCAATGAATTTCCAAAAAAAATACTTATATGGCAACCCAGATGTGCACATAGTACATATCTGTTTGGCTGGTATGCACTACCAAGGCTGTCATAATGACAAGTTTGTACAATTAATCTAATATTGTTTAAGCAAAAACAGATTGCTGTGTTCATGGGTAGAACAACAGTGCAAGAAAAAGAAATTTCTTGAAAAAGTTATAGGTTTTATTACTGATGTTTCACGTTTTTAAAATTTTATTGAATGATTGCTCAGTATTGAGCCATTTTGAAAATGGCTTTCCCTTTTGAGAATTAAAAAATTATTCAGCAACGAGTTCGGGATTGCTGTTCAAAGTCGCCAATGAGTTTGTGACTTTTTGGAATGGATGTGGATAATCTGAAATTACCATTAATTTTTTTACTTAAGAAGCATTTGATATTTTATTATTATTTTGAAGTCATTAATATTTTATATTTATTTTGGATATTCAGAATTTTAATGACTTGCATTTTATTAAAAATGTAAACTGAATGTGGAATTTATTGTAAAACTGAATTACTTAATGATATTGATAATAAATGTAGGTTAATTAATGTATTTAGTTTATTGGCGATATTGAATAAGCAATAAATGTTGCTGATAAAATTTAATAAAGCAATAAATGTTGCTGATAAAATTTAATATTTCTTCAAAATAATTTTCTTTCTTTTTTTTTTAATTTCTGATTTTTTTTTTTTTTTTTTACATTATTATTAATTACTTGTTTAGGATCTTAATTTGTAATGCCTCAGAAGTAATCCAGTTTTTTTAATTATTATGTTAAATAAAACCTGTTATTATCTATATCCATGTTATTCCCTTCTCAGTACCATTAGCACAAACAAATATGCTGCAGAAATTCATTCAAAAAATAGTTTTCGATATTTTTAGTTGTGCCATTCTTAGTTTTCAATCACATGGTATAATTTAAAGATGATGGTTTAGTTTATCTGAATAATTGTATGCTATGTTGTTTGATTTTTATATTGCTTAGTTAGGGGAGGGGTGCTTTAAGTATTTAGAATAGAATGTTGAATATTGTTAAGGCTGATAATGAATATACAGAACTCAAAAGTTTCCGAAAATTTGAACCTAAAATATCCTTACCAAAATCTAGAATGTTGTGTATGTATAGATAAATAATAAATTGATATTTGAAAATCGCAAAATGTTGCGTGATTCACATCATGTGCATTAAATTTTAGCTGAGAAATCAGAAATTAGTGCAAATGTGTGTTATTGTGGTAGGTTTGATTTAAAAATAGTTATTAGCCACAAATTGTGTTGTCTGATTACTGTTTTTTATTCATTTGTATCTTCTTAAAATATTTAAAATATTAAAATATTTTCCCCCATATTTTATTATTAGCTCTCAGCTTGTCAGATATAAGTTACTTAGAAAACTTTCAGAGGGGAAAAAAACAGTTTTCCTATATTTTATGACTTAGAAATTTAAAGCAAAAGATAAGTTGTAAACAGGAAAATACTCTGCATCATAAATTATAAAAGTGTTTATTATGATGCTTATGTTGAACAGTGGCTAACTGGTTTGCCAAATTTATTTATTTGAACTAAAAATTACAGACCTAAATACATATTTAACTGTAATTTAATTAGCTATTTTTCAAGAAAATTTTGGTTTTTCAAGTTTAAAACTAATCGTAGTAGAAAATGGCTGTGAAAAATTATTTCCTTTTATCAGTGCTAAATCAAAAAGGACTCATTGTCTTAAAGACATGAAAAACTGCCATGTGAATGGGATAATGACCAAAAAGCCTGAAAAACTTTCAACATTTTAAAAATTTCCTTAAAATTGGGATTCCTAACCTCTTTGTACCTAAGAGCACATTCTAGAATATCTGTTGGATGGCTGGCACTAATTGCTTTTTCAAGATGAATTTATAGTTTGATAGAGTTAATAATACATGCACATAAAAAATAATAATAAAAAAAAAGATTGGTTGCATTTCTCTTTGTCCTGGTATCTGTGTTGGATGCAATTTCTAGTTCATTAACAATGAAAACATTTTTATTGTGATCACACAGTGGCAGGCGTACGTTAAACGATCAGCAGATAGAAATGGTACCTGCAGGCATAGGGTTGGGAACCCCTGGTCTGAAAGGTTTATCTGAAGAAGGAAAGAAAGAAATAACAAGTAATTTTATTTATGGTTTAATATCCTCATTGTCCTGATTTTGCAATGCTTGGGAGTGCAGTTTGGTCTTTTTCCTGCTTACTGCACATATTAGCATAAAAGATACTAATTTGTTCTTCCAAGCAATTAAGCTTCAAAATAATCTGCTACAGGAAAATTTTGATTCAAAGAATTCTTTGAAACGTAATTCTGTTTGCAAATATCAATATTTAAAGCCATCTGTGTGCTCTGTTATCACATAAAAATAGCTCTGCAGAAAAGTATTACTCTGTGAACAGTAATTATGTTTTTCTCTATGAATAGAAACTCTATGAATAAAAACTATTTCTCTATGAATAGAGAGAAAAACAGTAATTATGTTTTTCTCTCTGCCTTTTATTTTCTTTCAGAAAATGAAACTGAAGAATCACCTGAAAATAAAAAATGTGGAATGCCATTTTGTATGGACCAGTTAGTTTTGAGGAATTACTGGACATTGATAAAAATGTAGTAAAACTTGTGATAAAAATGTAGTAAAACTTGGAAATTTAAAATTGTTTATTTATTTATATTTTTTTCATGAGAAATTGTCATGTATATTAATATTTTTTCCATTTGGATTTTACTTTTATGTAGTAAACCTGAAACTCTAATACTCATGACTAAAAATAGGGGAGAAAAAAGATGGGAGAATAAATTCATATTTAATAAGTTATGTGTTTCTGCATAAATATTTTAAGCAGTATTTAAAAAAATTATATTGCAGATGATTTTATCAGATGGTGTATAATTTTATGTTTAATTTTTTTTTTTTTTTTTTTCCCTGTCTGTGTTTCAAGATTGATGAAAATTTTACTGCTCAAATGGAGAATAAAATTTCGCCAATAGCGATTGCAGTGTTTTTGAAGCATAACAGTGGTAAGAATCGTATGTTTTGTAATTGTATAATTATGTATTCATTTTAATGTTTTTTTATTGGATATAAAACCTGTTACATTTGTCTTAAACAAATATCATTGATTTTTAAATTAAAAAAGATCTGGTAATTCAAGAAAAATAAGATTCCACTCTGCAGTTCTCTTTCATTTATTTTATTTATCAAATGCCAGTCATTTGTCCACCAGGCCATAAGACAATGGGTTCTCCAATATCTCAACACAACAAGAAAAAGCAGATAGTGCAGGCACTCGTCCAAATGTAAAGCAGTCATAACTTGTCCAGTCATACAAAGAGAACTTGTAGGAGACTCCACAATGTTAAAATGAAAAAGATGAGCACGGAGGCAATCATGCCCTGTTAACATTCTAAAAGTTGCAACTGCATGAAGTGAGTCTTTTCTAGACCACGCCTTATCCCAGTTGTGGTCTAGAAAAGAGTACATTCCAAAGTCTGCCATTCAAAAGACACAAAGCATTATCATGAAGAAAGCACCTGGAAATCCAGTTCTTTTTTCCATACACCAGATTTATTTTTTTCTCCCTTTCAATTTAGTAGTTATAAATGAAAAACAGTTGCTTCAAACAAAAACATCTGTCAAGGTTTCCAGCTGTGGATTTATAAAAGTTGAATTTTCGGTTTTTAATGAGATCTTGATATTGCCTGTCCGTTCCAGGTAGGACATCTTTTATGCACTTCCCAAAATTCATAAATGTGGTGTTCCTTTCCTGCCCTATTGTATCAAATTTTGGCATGCCTCGTATCCGTTAGCTAAATATTTAGTTTCTAGATTTTAATTCTCTATTAGACAATAACATTTACACCATAAAAAATTCAATAGACTTTGTGAAAAAGGTTAAAAACATTTCTCCTAGAAATTTACTCATGGTTTCTTTTGATGTAAATTTATTATTCACCAATGTTCCAGTGGAGGGTGCATTAAGATGTCTAGAAACCAGACTTCGCGAATTTCTTTTGCATCGAAATTGATGAGTTAATTTCTCTCACTCAATTCTGTGTGAAACAAATGCATTTTGTTTTCCAAAATAAATATTACAAGCAGACTGAAGGATTAGCCATGGGAAACCCCCTCAGTCTCATCCTGGCTGATATCCGCGTGCATTATTATGAATCGAAATTGTTTGAAACTTTAAATCTCCCGGTATGGTTCTGCTGAAGGTAATAAAGATGATTTAAATAAAGTTCTTTCAACATTGAATTCTATTGATCCTGCTAGTGCAGTTCACTTTTGAACTTGAGTCTTGCAATTCTCTTACGTTTCTCAACATTCTGGTCGCATGTAACACATCCAACTTCAGTACTACGGTTTGCGGTAAATCTTCATCGGTTTGCCTTTCACCACACTCTAAGTCATGTCATCTGATTAAACAAAAGTTGGCTTCATTTTATTCCTACGTTTTCCGTGCTCTTCAAGTTTGCTCCTCCAAACTATGCCTTGATGAAGAACTAAATTATTTAAAAGCAATAGCTATTGACAGGGGCTTTTCACCCAACATTATTAATCAAGTAGTTAAAATTTCTCATCTCAACACACTAAAAGGCACACTCTTGTTTTAGGAGATTATAAAATTCTGTTTTCATTCCCTTCTTTCCATCAATTAGCTATAAAGTTGCACGTATTTTGCAGAAATTTAACTTTCGAGTTGTTTATTCTCCCATCAATAAAATTCCGAGTTCCATACTCAAGGACCCCATTCCGGATATGAATTCCTGGGGTATTTATTAGATTCCTTGCTAGTGTGGTTTAATTTACATTGGCCAAACTAAGAGAGCCTTAAAATTTCGCGTTAAGGAACATGAGGCATATGTTAGAAAAAAGGAAGCGCAGAAGTCTTCTGTTGCCCAACATTGTTTGTCCGAAAATTCCACTTTCAATTTTTCTGCTGCCAAAATTATTCAAAAAGATCTTCCATTGGTGAACTGGATTTTCTAAAGGCATTTCACATTCAAAAAAATCTTTCTGTTCTAGTTAACGACCCTAATTCCAATCCATCTTTGCCTTCAGCCTTTAAAGAAATTATGTTTTAGTTCTGGTTTCATCAACAGATAGTGCCAGTTGCTTGACGCTTGTCCGTTCTATCGTTTCTTTTTCTCATCTCTCTATCTTATCTCTTTCATTTGCGCTTTTGCAGCTGAAGATGATTGTTCGGTAAAACCATCAAAACTAGTCCTGTGAAAATTTGAAAATATAACGCGGATTTTTGTTGTTTGACTTGTGTGACACTATGAAGAGCTGAATGGACTAACTTTGTGGAAAGTTCCAGATCTGAAGTTTTTAATCTGGTAAAATAAATCTTATCAACTTATCATCAGAGTTGTGTGCATTACAGCTTATGTGACATAATTGTACTGGACTTTTTAAGGAAATATAATTTTTACTTGGACTTTAAAAATAATGAGTTGCATTTAGCCTCTGTAGACATAACTATCCGTCATTGGAAGGAATCATAACATGGAAATGCTGATGCCCTGTGTAGAAGACTTTGCTCAGAAAGCCGCCGATATTGTTCGAGGGTCGAAGCGAAATATGAGCTGCTTAGTCCGGTCGTACATCAAGTTATGGAATCCAACATTGTCTGACCCAGACCCATGGAAGGGCAAAGTCAGGAAAGCAAGTTGGAAGCCACTGACATTAAACCCATAATTAAATTAATAGAGTCTTCAAACAGGAAATCGACCTGGGAGGACATTTTGATTTGTAGTCCCATGACTTTTCCACGACAGAAGTTTGAGTTGGTTGATTGAAAGGCATTCAGATGGGAGCTGATATTTACAAGATACTGCGTCCCAGACATCCTTAAAGAATTACATAGCAATCCAAGAGGAGGCCACTTCTGTATAGTGAAGTCTTTGCATAGAATTTGAGAATGTTTCTACTGGAGTAATGCAAGGGCTGATGTGCAAAAGTGGTGCTAACTTTGCGATGCCTGTGTAGATTGGAAACAATCAAAGAAATGTAGCCGAGGAAAGCTGTGACATTATAATGTAGGAACACCTTTTGAATGTATTGCCTCTGACTTCCTGGGACATCTGCCATGAACTGCTGATGGCAACAAATACATCCTTCTTGTCCTTGTTGTTTGACTTCTGAATTAGTATCCTTCTTGTCATTGATTACTTTAGCAAGTGCCCTGAAGCATATCCTATTCCTGATCAAGAGACTGTCAAGATAGCAGAGGTAATGATACGGCATTGGATTTCTATTTTCAGAGTGCCACTTTAGTAACGTTTCAACTAGGGAAAAAAATTTTGCATCGTCTGTAATTAAAGAACTGTGCAAGCTACTTGTCATGGACAAAATCGAAACGACACCTATACATCCAAAGTTTGATGGCATGGTTAATCGAACCATCCTTAATAACCTTTCTTTGTGGGTTTCCAGAAACCAACAGGATTTGGACACAAAGTTACCACTGTTTTTACTGGCCTTTTACAGTGCTGTCCATGAGACTACTGGCTTAATCCCCATTCCAGATGCTCTTCGGTTGTGGCCTTCGTCTTCCTTGTGATCTTTTGTTTGGCTGCCCTCTGGATGTGCCTTCATCACCTCAGGAGTGCATCGAAGATCTCCAGGCATGGTTTGAACCGATGCCTAATTTTGTATGAGAGCAAGTCAATTTGGCGACAGAGAAAATGAAGACCGTATACAACATAAGAGCTACAGGACATAGATTCAACAAAGGTGACAAGATGTGGTCATTGAGTCTGATTCAACATAGAGGACTCTTTCCTAACCCTTTGACATGCGCAATATTATTTTTATAATTTTTTTAACTAAAAGCTCTAGAAATGGAATATTATAATCCTAGAGACAGATAATATATGTATTTTAAAAAATGTACTCTTGACCATTGTTCTGTGGGTGGTGATCGCACTGGTCTAGGACTTCGAAACATACTGAGGTGGTAGGGGGGAACTTACCTTTTTCCATGCACGTTTACAATAAATGACAAAATTTACAAATTTTTTTTTAAAACTGTCAGAATTGCGTTGTATGTAATTTTTTTTTACATTATTTTACAAAGTAAATCGTCAGAAAAATTTTAAAATAACCATTTATGTAATTTTTTTTACAGCAGTGAAAATATAAGTACCTACATAATAAGGAGATTCAGAAAAATGGATTAAAAAAAAATTACAAGTTTTACACACGTATCTTGTTCTGTGAGGTTTCTTCCTTTGCTACAAAATATACACTGCCTGAATCTAAATGTCACTGGTATATGTCCAGCGTTATTTAGTTTCATTTCATCTGGCACATAAAATTTGTGGTTTTTTACGTTAATGGGGGGGGGTCTTTTTTTTTTTTTTTTTTTTTTTTTTTTTTTTTTTTTTTTGCTTTGGTACAGATTATTCGTTTCCAATTCATTAATTATAGCAAAGTATATTTACGCTAAATTTAAACTGCACAAAATAATTTATAAAATCACAATACTAGCTTGGGAAGCAAATGTGTTGAGGTCAGCGAAAAAAATCTCTGGAAAAGAAAGACCTTTTTACTGGGCAGGTGCATGTATTGTTTAGTAATTAAATAACTCTGGTTTCAAAGTCCCTTATCTATATTCAGGTAAAAATAAACATTCCTATTTGAAAAGCAAGCAAACACCATTGTGAAAAGCAGTCGTTTCAAGGCGCGACCACTGAACCTCTAGAACAGTGGTGCGCAAACTAGGGGTGGCGACCCCTGTAGGGGTCGCCAAATTTTTATGAAATGCATTATGCCTGCATGCTGCATACCATACAGTGTACATATAAAGAGTGAAGCGCCGTCACTCACTGTTTAATTGCAATTTCATGCTGTCCGCTCTTTCTTTGACCGTAATGCGTAATGTATGTAAAGTGTGAAGACGCAAGTTTTTCACTCCGGTGGATAGGGCCCTCTTCGCGGTAATTCGCCAGTTTTACTGAAAAGCGCCTATTTAACTAGACGTTAACCGCGGAAGAGGAAAAATTCACTTTTA